CATACGCCACTTTGCACCCGTTGACACTTAAGAGACGCACACATATAAAAAAAGGAAAAAAAAAGTGAAACCGTCAAAAAAAAAAAAAACAACGGCTTTGCTTATTTACATAAATTATTTTTAATTTTTTTCTTTTAGCCATTGCTGTTACAATTATTATTATTGTCGAGGCCATGGAAATGTGTTCGACTTTCTTAAAGACATCGTTACAGGATTATTGTTTTTGTTTTACTTGTACTGTTTAAGTGAAAAGATTTAAGACGTGTGTGAATGATATTAAATTTTTTAAAAATACCGCTTATAAGATATTTGTTGTTTGTACTCTCTCTTTGATGACCGATAGATAATAAAATAAGAATTTATTTATTTTGTTTGTGTACCGTTCCTATCTATGAGTGCAGTATTATTGTTTGTTGTTATTATTATTATTATTATTGTTGTTGTCTTTCGCTTGTTGTTTTGATATTTCGGGCTCTGACCGGCTGAGCCATTTAGTTTGCAAACTTTCTTCAAGCCACTAAACCATTCACGATGAGCAAATGTTATAGACTAAATACTTGACTGTTGGCTGCGTGCTTTACAATCTTTACCCAAAATAAACAAGACTAACACACATACGTGCACTGAGTACAATTGGTACGCTTGTGCTGATGACAGCTATAGAATAAATTGAAACTTAACGTAAGAGAACTTTTTTTATACCCGTTTATCCGAATTTCGCGACACCCATCATTTAAGTCGAATAGATTTTTATTTGTACAGTTTTTTTTTTTTTTTTTTTTCTTTATCTGTACCTTTAGATAAAATATGTTGTTAATATTCTTACGCGTATAGATATAAATATCAAGTAATCGTATATCGATTTGCAATTCCAGAATACATACATATATATATATATATACATACTATATATATATATATATATATATATATATACATATTAATTTTGAATGTTTTAAAAAGAGAAGCTTTTCTTTATAAATAGCATATATCTGCTTGAAGTGAAAGACCATATCCAGGATAAATGAGCGGTTCTTCGCTTTGGTTTTTGTTAACGTTAGTAGATTCACGCAATCAAGTGCCAAGTGCTGAATCAGAACCTTACGTTAACTTGCAATATTTGGTTATATGCAGTAAATCTAAGAAACGGATTATTAAGCTTTCTTAATATATAAATATATTTATTGATTATTTAATTCATTGCATATATAACATATATAAATTTATTCCTCACGTTATATTCTAAATAGATATTTTTGTGATTAAAATCGCGTAAAACGGAGATAACCATAAACGCGTTTTTTTAATCAATTTCGTAATACAAAGTAAACGTAATACGTTTAAAAAATAATGAAAATAACTTATTTAACTTAATTATGCAAAATATTAAAATTACAATTCAATTTTTTTATTCAAAACTAAAAATAGAAAAAAAGGCACTGTTTTCAAAAAATTACAAAACAAAAAAAAAATGTGAATTTTCTTTTTATTTATTACATCGTAAATTTTTATTTTTTCATTTTGTATTAAAATTTAATAGAAATAGAAAGCCACGTAAGATCGATTCATTCATATCATATACACTCAATTTTTTTTTTTTTACACGGTAGTGTACGTTTTTCAGAAAATCCTGTAAAAGATATATGCGACTTAGATCAAATTCAGGGATATATTTGCACGACTTTAAAAAATCGTGTAAGTTGAAGACAATCTAAATGTTTTCCCAAGAAAATCGTGCATAAAAGTAATAATGAAATCCATATTAAAAAACAACAAAGAACATTATAGTCGGACAACGCCTACGACTATTACACACTCTTCACCATATCGCCTAGTACTCTTATTCGCTTGCCATAATTTTCATGAGAACCCGCATATTGAAAGGTTCGATTTTCTCTCCATATAAGAGTTCGCGTTTCATGATAGTGCCTATATATGCTGGGACCGCTAGTGTGTATTAAAAATTAATCTTTTTTCCGAAGAGCGTACAACTTATGAGATATCTTATATGGACTGGGACTCATGTAGTTGAAATTAGGTCCACTTAATTTTTTTGTATAATTACTGTTATGAATAAATAAATATTTATCGCAAGAAAATTAACAATTAGGCTTTTTGGGCATATAAAGGTTACTTTTCATGAGAATCTTTATATGCGGTGGTGGATCGACATGGTCCAAATTCGGTAGTGTAGATTTCTTTCGATATGAAATAATGGAAATTCGACCATTCATCATTCGACCATTTCAGGTTCAGTTGCCGTAGGAAAGTTTATATATGAGGTGGTTCGAAAAATTGCCACAGCCGGTCTAAAGTTTTCACACCAATGTAGAATGCCGAAGGACGATTACTTAGTCACTTTTGACGAGAAGTTTTGAGAACTGCAAATTTTTTCCAAGTAACGACTTTTCAGAAAAGGTTATTATATGGGGAGAGGAAAAATGGAAAATATCTCAAAAATTACGGCCTGCAGACCAAAAATAGTATTATCAGGTAATACATCAGATATGTCTACCACTAATATCGGATTTGATTCAAATAAAGAATTTCATTCTTTATTAATGGCTCATGTTGGTTTGGCCTACTATTGCCAGCTATTTGTTTTTTCGTTCCTCAAGTTCCTTATATAATTCTTGATGTCCAGCTATACAAAATTTAAGGATCCATCCAAGTGCACAGAAACTGATGTCAGGATCATGAGTAAAAAAATGTTGTTCCATACTTGTGGCAAGTTTCAAGCCCTCGCCAATTAAGTCAGCCCTTAACAGCTGAGCTTCACAATCGACTTCGTCACCGTCACTTTTCATCTTACAAACTCATCGCTCTAATACAAGATAAATACTGAATACCGGAATGCCGCGTTCAAGTTTAAGTGCAACGAGATGGAGAAAAATACGATCATAAAAGGTCACCAAAAAAAATCTTTTTTTTTTTTTTTTTTTGAATTCTTGGCAAAACAAAGAATTCGCGTACAAAGTGTATTTGTTTTTATTGATGAACCGTTTTATTGCGAAATCGGGTAAAAAAAGATCATGTAAAAAAAGAAGTTGGTTATGCTTCCATTCATTTCATCCATTGAATTTATAAATTGCAACTTACTTACCAGCTAACATTTCGTGAACAAACACACATTTAATAAATTAATTAATTCTATTTGTAATTTACTGGCTCAATATTTTTTATTTATTTTTTTTTTATATTTACATTTTTAAGGGTTGTGCAAAAGAACCGGCAAAGTTAGTATACTGCTCTTATGGTGGGTGAGTATGAAAAATCTCCAGCTAAAGCTTTTGGGAGCATAATAGAAAACATTTTGCTCTCTTCCTCTTTCACTCATTTGCTCTTCCGAAGGGATTCGTTCATTCATATTAAGTCAACAAGTTTGCCTTCAATGAGATATATGTGTGTGTATGTATATATAAATTAGTTAAACTACACCTTATTACATGTTCACATATGTATGTATGTACACAAATATGCTCGTGTAATTACACCTATTATCGAAGGATGAGAGATATATTTATTTTGTCAAAACGTATGCGAAGCCAAGTTTATATATTTTCTTGAGCAAATCTGTCTGTCCGTCTGTCTGTCCGTAAATGCGTCTATTGTAAACAATCTCCTGGGCGAAAAAATACGACTATCGCCTTGAAATTTGATATTGAAAATGGCGCTAAATTGGTTGAAGGACACGGTTACAGTGCTACGTAAACTGAGAAAACCTCCGTTTTTCAAGAGGAATAAAAAAGTTGCTTTTTTGCACTAGCGTATAAAGCGTATAAATTCCTGGCCAGCTTAAAATTCGCAATGCATCCAAGTATGTCCGTCTGTCAGTGTGTTTGTTTGCCCAATTATGTAGCATTTGCCGTAAACATTCTCCTGTTCGCAAAAATAAATATATCGCATACAAAGAATTTGGAAATGATCCAAACTGGTCAGAGGATCGGTCTCTGTAACTCCAAGATGCCTATGCAGCAAAAACTATCAATACTTTTGCTTTGCGTGTGTTTGCTGCTTATTACTTTATTATTATTACAGCACTTATATCATATAGGATTTCATTTTTATTCTGAAAACGGGAAGAAGATCAACTATGCCCATCCAATATCATAGAGTTCATACTGTCATCTAGCTTTACTAATTTTGCTTTAGTCTTTTTTAGGATAACTGTGATGGCTATAAAAGATTCGGTCATTACCGAATATAATTTTCTCATTTTAATTTTAATACTCATTATCTGCGGTTTCGTTGTAGAAATTTAAATGACAGGCTGACAAGCAGGCAGGCAGGCAGGCAGGCTGACAGGTATTTTTTAACCATGTTTTTTAAAATTAATTAAGTGCTATTTAGTGCACTCTTTAGGTATTTATGCGTATCGTATAACTTTTTTCAGTTCTTCAATTCCATATCAAGAACATTTCTTTCTGGTAATTTCCTGGCACTTTGAGCGTTCGATTGTTTGAATATCCAGAAGAAAAAGATGCTCTACTGCACTATTTTCTTTAGGTATTAAAAATTAACATAAATATGTATGTATGGATGTATGTATGTATGATATTTTTTTACGATTAAATAAATAGCGTAAGTTAATGATATGAAAAATATTTTTATGCTCCCGAAATACACATAAGAATAATCTCTATCCTAGAGCGATATAATTTAGATCCGCTATCTTAGAGAACTTGAAAACTTACCAATTTAAGGATACCATAATACACAGTAGAAATCATTCACCTCTGCCAATCAAAAGCTTTACCCAGATTTTTTGCACTATCAAAATTATCAACCAAAGAGTAATTTAGTGAATGAGAGAGTGGTGTGACCTTGTGTAACTCATACAAACACTACAAACTCAGGCACTTTTACTGCAAGCCTGAGGTGGGCAATTTGAAAGTAAAAATACAAAAGAATATTTGATATCTATAGCAATTGTTTTAATGGGTGACCTGTTAGACAAAAATTGATTCTAAAAATCAGAATTGAAAATTCATAGAAATGCTTACTGATATAATCTCAAAAGATAACCGAAAATTTTCATCTATTTAATTCTGAGACTTAACAACTACAGCAAATATGCGGAGACATTTTTTCCGGAGTTTGTATTGAAAGCATCTAAAGTTGAAAAATAAACTTAATTCAATTCGGTCGACTGACAACTTACAGAAGATTTACTTAACATTTAGTTAAGATTAGATTTTGATTTTCAAAATTCAGCACAAACAAGTGGACATCTTTAAATACTATATCAAAAAGAGTTTGCAATTTTTTGCCACGAGACCAGTTCACAGTTACTCAAAAAGTCGGTGAAATTTTGCAAATGTTGGTGCAAGATCGGCACGCAAGCCGCCAGAAAATAGTGAGGCACTAAACATCAATCACATGACAATTTGGAATTATTTGAAAAAGATCAGGCTACAAAGAGAAGCTTGATGTTTGGATGCCGTATGAATTAACGCAAAGAAATTTGATTGATTGTCTTATCATAAATGATATGCTGCTCAAACGCAACCAAATTGAATCATTTTTACAGCAAATCATGATAGGCGATGAAAAATGGATCAAATACGAAAATATCAAACGCAAGCTATTAGTGTTAAAAATGGATGGCTCTCCGCAAACGACTTTAAAGCTTGGATTGTCGGGAAACAAGATTGTGTTGAGTGGTTGGTGAGATTGCAAAAGAATTCTTCATTATGCGCTGCCATATCTATACTGTGCACTACTCGACCATTTTAACCAAACAAATCAGAAAGAGCCAACGTAATCGGCCAACGGAAAGAGAATTGTGTTTTATCATCACAATGCGTGGCCGCACACATTTTTCAAGGCTCGGAACCAATTGGCCCAACTAGGACATCCAACAGGCTTTCAACTGGCCTTGCATTGTCTGACTACCAGTTACGATCTCTGCAAAACTCTCTTGATGGTAAAAAATTGCCTGACCGAAGAGCTATTGTCACGGTCGCAAAAATAAAGACAGGAAACTGAAATTTGGCACAACATAAATTAATTTTTCTATTCTCTACCAAATACAAATACACAGTAACTAAACCATTTATAAACTATTTACCTTGAAACATATTTTGAACATTCATAACCTAAAATATCATTCACTTTTTATACTGTACTTAAATTGTGGTGCAAGTTATTATTAAGTTTGTACGTAAGTCACATGCAAGAGCGCTTAAGCTAGGCCCCCTTCTCATATAATCGTTCCTAGGGAAACTGAAGCTTTATATGGTAAAACAATTGAATATCCAATAACTCAATCTAGTTCACCGATTAAATAGGAAATAAATCAAAATCGCCGCAAAACACAAAACGAATGTCTTTTAACAACTACTTTAAATTCATGTTAGTACGATGAAATGCCGTATACGACTCCAAAATTTGTATCAAACTATACGGTGCGCGAAATGAATATCTGTCTTCAACAATTGTCTTTTCTCAACATTAAGCTTACTATTAAATTTAGTTATAATTTTTTTAGGAAAGTAATAAAAATCTGAAAAATTTGGACTTTGCTTCTTTGGAATATATCTTGAAAAATTCCTTACCAACTTCTCTTACAAACTCCATAGATGTCCATAAATGTCCTAGAGCATTTCCTTAATTTTCTTGAACAGAGTTGAGGTTGAAGTTGTAAAGAAAAAAAATTCCACTTGAAATTTTTACTTGCTCAAGATAAAAATTATTAAACACTAGCCATACACTTTATCGTTTTATTGTTTTACATATTTATTATTAATACATATTGTATTAGAAGTTACAATTGGTACTGTGATGAATTCTCTTGGCGAACACCTGTACAAATTTTTTTTATTTGGAATCAAAATAAAGAGTAACGCGTGGGGAAGCACTTTGTTTTTCTAAATGCAAACAAGTGAATAAACATTTTATAACCTTATTCCACTTCAACCTTTTGTTATATTTCGTATTTTCGTTGGTCTTTCTTCTTCTATATATATATATATATATAGAATTGATCTTTAAACAAATTTCAAGACATTCCGACCATTAATTTACAAATTATAGGTGATTGGGTGACGCTACAAACAAAATTCAAATTTCTTTTTTTTATATCATGCAAATCTTTATAAGAATTGTTGTATTTGCTGAATGAAGTTTGTACTGTAGGTGTTATATTTCGATTTTGATGATTGGATCACTTAAATGTGTAAAATAAGTTCATCTGTTTATGCTGAGCACGTAAGGACGTAAGGTTATTAAAAACATTCAAAATGCTTAAAAGTGTACCTTTAAAAGATTGCAATTCTTGATCTATAATTTTCGAAATTTAAAAATCTCAACTAATTTGAATCGTCTTGACTTTCGCTGTACGAGTTAAGCTTTTTCTTGTCGGTTGGCAGTACCATCAGTCACCCAAATCAATGTTACCGGATTGAGTCTCTTCTGTTTATCGTATCTCGAAAAAAAAGATTTTTCTAATTTTCATGGATTGGACCACTTGCACCTTGTTCTCATGCAAAATGGGTTAGCGTTTTACATATATAAGAAAAATTATATCCAATAAATTAAACGCCTGCTCTTAGCTTTGCGCATTTTAAAAGACCTTACAATAAGCTCCGCGCAATCGAATACACTTAGTATAAATGGAGTCGCCTGTTTCAACTATTTCATCTGAAAAGTAGTCGTATTAAAAGAAAGATCAATTCATCTGGCGATGAATAATTTTTCTATTAAATTTCTCGCTTTAATATTAAAATTGATGAAATGAAATTTAACTGGAAAGAAAATCACTATCATAATCGCTTGCTAAAACGTTAAAAAAATTTACGATATTAAAGAATAAAAAACATAAAAAGTATAATTTATATTTGTATTTATGGTACAAATACACTACTTAACCATAATTCGTAATCCCGTTTTGATGCTTTTTAGTTTTTAGATCTGGTAACGCTGACTGCGTGCTTTTAAGTTTTCATAGCGTATATTTACATAGCATAAAGAGTACTCGAAGACATATATTGTTTGCGACTCAGTTGAATTCGACAAGCTACGTTTTCTATAGTTACGGAATTCGATCAATAGACGTAATTTAATTAATTTCTATTTCTCATAAGACATCGTATGATCAAATAATATATATATATATATATAAACATATACATACACATATACTAATATTTGTATATCTTCATAAGCGGTGTGAGTAAAGTATTACAGGAATTGTGGGGTAACTAAAATTCGTTATGCACCGTTTATAACTTCTCTGCTTGCTTTATTTTTCATTTTCGGTTTAAAAGTGTTGCAGTCATACCAGTCATATTTAAGTTGGGTTGTTGGAATCAATAATTCGCACGTCGTGAGATTAGTCTCTTCTTTTTATTGCGAAAAAAAGGTACAAAAGTTAATAATTGTAAGAGTAAGTGAAACAGTAAAATATAGACGGCAATTATTAACGCAAATAAAACATCATTCGGCTTCTGGTAGTTGAAAAAAAAAAATCTTTTAATAATTTTTTTTACAAATATTTACGTCATCTGAAAGCACTGCAGAACATGTCGGAAGCAGAACATGCAGAAACCAATGGAACAGCAAATGGCGACGTGCCAGAAATTGAATTGATCATAAAGGTTGGTTAATAAGAAAAAAAAAAAAAATAAAAAGGAAAAACATGAATATTTTTTTTAAATGCCATTTGCACAACATGTCGAGAAAACTAAAACAAAAGTGAATGTCAAAGATCAGCGAACAAATTAGGGAAAGTTAAATAATATATATGGTGTGTGTATTCAACGATATGTAAAAAGAAAAACAATCATCTTTGCTCCTCATTTGGAAGGTCGCCAACGTTAATTTAAATCGAGTAAACTAAGCCAACAGAGCCAGCCAGAGTTTCTATCTATAATGGTTCTTTTCAAATGAATAAAACTGGTTTGAAAATAATACACCCTCCACACCACGCAATTATCCACCAACAACAAGACCAGGCCACTACATAAATATGAAAGGCGTAGTGTGAAGAGGCTACAGAAAATTATTATCGCTTGAATAAATTCCAAATATGTGCATATTTATACATATAAGCTCTCTTGCATGCATATATATACATATACTTCTTTAATGGGACATATTTTGTTTCACTTTTGCTATAAACATTTGAAAAATTTCTCTATAACAATTATGCGTCATCAAGTGCTTCATTCTTGGCATTTATTAAAAGATTTGTATATATCTTCATTCTCGCTATAAATTTACTATTAATTGATTAATAGATAGATAGATATTCTTCATTTTCCATTTGCTTATCAAATTGTTTTTATTTGACATTGGGCTAATAACTTATGCGTTATTATTATAATATTGATTGAATAATTGGACATGTTTTAATCCCTCGTATTTTTCAAAGTTAAATGATAAATTTTAATTATGTATTTGTATGTACACCATATAACGGGAGCAAAAATGCATTTGAGTTATGTTGTACAATTTTGAAGCCTAAAGCAAAAGCGATATTAATATCTAGAGTTACAAACAAGTTAACGGTTGACGGTTCATCATTGTTTATCATATATGCACAATTTAGATGGCATAAGTACGCAGCTCCATTCTACACGCGTACAGGGAAAAGTGAAAGTTCAAAATAAAATATGTTAGCATAACAAAACCACCAAGTGAATGCATACACTTTTTCATATTGTCATGTATGTTATGATGCTTGTTTATCAAAATCTGAAAGTCTATCTACTGCTACTCATATCGATTACTGATCTTGTAGATTGTCCGCATCTTTTTTCATGCTCGGTTATTATCATCGAGACGATACGACACGTACGATATATACATGCGCAAAAGGAAAGACTTTAGACGAAAAAAAAAAACAACCTTTGCCATTTAATAAATACGATTTTACATCGTCAAAATTTAAAATAAATTATTATGACAGTAATGACGATTCATCACGAGATACTTAAAAATGCCCAACTATGCATGTTGCTTTATGCTCATCACTCGCGGTAGCTTTTGTTATTCGTATAATCGTTTGTCGAATGTATAAAAAAAAACCAAAAAAAGCAGATGTAAGGTAATCTAAATAATATTTAGCTTTAAGGAAATGAAATATCATTTCATTCGTTCATTCACTTGATAATCCTAACAAGAGCAGTTGTCTCTATGATTTAAGCTTAATACTTTTCGAGTTACTTTATATGCATACGACGCGCATATCAATCGATGTTCATTCCTCTCCGCTTATGGGGAAAATACATAGCTAGAAATCATTAGTTTCCTATAATAATAAACTTTTGCTGCTTATGCTGGATAGTCAATTTTCGAAAACTTGTTCTTCCTTGCTAAGGCGATAATAAAAGTGAAAAGTTTTCTCTTTTATTTTTTTATTTTTATTTTGTTTATTTTTTTTATTATTGTTTTTCACGTTTCCCTGCTCATTTTTAATCAACTTTAACAACCTGTTGGTTAACAATATGTCGGTATACCTTACCCAGAAGATAGAAGATATACCAATTTTTGGGCATTTTCGTTGAAATACTTGTACGTAATAGCTGTAAAATAAAAGTAAATATTTCAAAAATAATTTCATCGATTAGCAAAATTCAATAGTTTTTGATTTGAAATTATATAACTTTTTGACAAAACAGATCGACACGAGAACACTTAAAAGTAAACGATATTATTAACAAATTTAAGAAATTATTTTACGGTAAAGACCCTTATAGAAGAAAAAAAAAAAAAAAATTAAAAAAAAATTAAAAAATAATTAGTAATATTCATATGATTATCTCTCTCTTAATTAAATAGATGGAGTTTGATTTTCGCCCTCTTTTGCCTATGCATCACATACATATAATATTAGAAAATTCAATTAAAACTAACTTAACTGTTAGACTGTTCACCGATTAATACTAATTTCAAAAACCTTTTAAATTGCTAATAACAATCTTTATGCAAAATATTATGCAAGTTTCATTAAAGGGTTTAAAAAATGGTGACATGTAATAAGGATTACAATGGGATTTAAGATTAACATTGCTTTCGATATATTCTTTATTCGAAGTGAGGCTAAACTCAAACAAATATTTGCTTTTTGTTGATTCTATTCGAAAACCTCATATATATTTTCCAGTAAATAAATTAGTTTAGCAATACTTTTTTAATTGATTGATTGTCTTTCGTAGAGTCGTTATCAGACAACACTTGTTGTTAATTTTTATCAATGCAACGACATGTTTGACGCTTCTTCCTACAAGAGAGCGAGAAGAAACATTAGATAGAATAGAATGAAGTCTTAATTACACGAAGGTTTAATATTGCATTTTGCGACGAATCTTGGACACCCATCATCTAAATTGAATTTATAATAATTTTCTAAGCTCTCAATATGTTCCGTTATGCTTCAAAGATAATTTAAAAAAGTTTTTTTAAATTTTTCTTTTTTTTCCTCCCCCCTCCGTCTCAAAACATCTATTTATTTTTATATATATATTTTTTTTTTTTTTTTTTTTTTTTTTTAAGAATAAATGAAAATTTGTAAACTTTCAGGAATATAGATGCAAAGTATCGGTTTTACCTCGTCGAAAATTCATGTGAAATCGTTTGGGTAAACCTGCTCGTAGTGGGCGTTCGGATACACAAATCGAAAGCAATCTTTTTTTTCTAGTTTGTTCTCTTGTTTCCTCTTGTTTTTTGTTTATATGCGAAAATTGACTATTGAAAGACTGTTGCAATTATCGTTACTTCTAATTCTATTAGAGCACATAAGATATTATCATAAATAAATATTTGCAATAATTTCAATGTAAACATTGAAACAATAGCACATATAACCGATAACAATTAAATGCTTAATAAGGCCTCAATTGGTTAGAAACTATTCTTGGAGAGCTTATCGAACAGTTGAATACTTTATGAACGACGTGTCAATGACATCATCACAGTTATTGTATTTGAGTTTTATCTCTCCACATGTATAAAAATTCAATATTTTAACAAATCATTGCAGATAGATCCTACAATTGTTTATAACTATTCTATTTTTTTTTTTTTTTTTTTTTTTTAAATTTTTCTATCTATGACGATCACGTGAAAAACTTTTGGTATTTGTTATGCAATTATTACTGTTATTGCCAACATATATAGACAGGTACATATAAAGAATAGGTGCTTGCATATATTTTGATAAATTTTTTACATGAAAAGCGCAATTTATTGAGAAAAAATATATACTAGGCGTAATATTTTCCATCTTTCTGGCTGAATGGCGACACCGTGTCGGAAGACTGACATTGTTTTGGCAGTGATCCAATTGTCTACCCATTTTCGCATTTCTTCAGGAATTTCTTTAGCATTTCGCGACCACGTGCCAGCCAAGCCATCCTGCATCAGTCTGAACAACATTCGAATTGCCTTTGTGTATCCATGACAACTCGTGCAACGTGTGGCCGAACGTTGTCATGCAAGAGTATGACTTTACGCCTGTTAACCGCTATTGCTGCTCCTTTTTTCAATAGTTTATAGTTCAATTTGCTCAATTGACGTCGGTGGCAGTAATCGTTGCGGCAATAGTTCCATTCGGTTTTAGCAGCTCGTAATGCATTGCACCTTGCTGATCCCATCATATGCACCGAAAAACTCTGTGGACATTCGAAAGCTTTTCGAGAGTTTGAGTTGGGTTTTCTTTCAATAAGTCTTGCAATTCATTGCCTTCGAACTTTATGGGTACTCCCACTTCCGATCTTTGTCATTAACATTAAAATCACCTATTTTAAGCCGCTCAGCAATAGATTTCTTCAAATCAAAGGTCAAGGATAATGAATTTGGAAAATGCAATGTCGAGCTTTTCATGCAATTAGCGTCTGCATGCACCCATTAACTCTAATACTAAATGGAAAACTCTTATTTTATATAGAGAAAGACAATTTAACCGTTGCCTACATTGATATTTCGCATTATTTTATCATTTTCACTAAAATATGTCGCTGATCAAAACTCATGCAAGCACCTATTATATTTATTTGTGTAATGATATCATACGACAAATTTGGATAATAATCGAATGCCTTACAAAATATATATATATATATTTTTAATGGTTGGGCAAATGCTAATAAAATATTTTAACATTAGAACGCATGCGCGTATGCATGTATACATATAACGTCTGTATGTGTAAATAAAATATATTTTTGATAGGCGTCTACGATTGATGGACGCCGCAAAGGTGCCTGCCTTTTCTGCCAGGAATATTTTATGGACTTGTATCTGCTGGCCGAATTAAAAACAATCAGCTTAAAGGTGACCACGGTAGATATGCAAAAGCCACCGCCCGATTTCCGTACCAATTTCGAAGCTACGCATCCCCCCATTTTAATTGACAACGGTTTGGCTATACTCGAGAATGACAAAATCGAACGGCATATCATGAAAAATATCCCCGGTGGATATAATCTGTTTGTACAGGTAAATAAACATTTTTAAATGTGTATACACATATATGTACAATAAGAGCATTATAATTTAAATAAAAAATCTTTCGATTAATTAGGACAAAGAAGTGGCCACGTTGATTGAGAATTTATATGTGAAGCTCAAGTTGATGTTGGTAAAGAAAGACGAAGCCAAAAACAATGCTTTGCTTGCACACTTAAAGAAAATTAATGATCATCTGGCTAATCGTAACACACGCTTCCTTACCGGTGATACCATGTGTTGCTTCGATTGTGAGTTGATGCCGCGCCTACAGCATATACGTGTAGCTGGCAAGTATTTTGTGGATTTTGAAATTCCAGTAAGTTTTCGTTGTATTTTTTTTTTATTTTATTACCATTTCTCTTTTTATTAATTGCTCATTTTTTTTTTTTTTTTTGTCACAGACTCATTTAACGGCTTTGTGGCGATACATGTATCACATGTATCAATTGGATGCTTTCACTCAATCGTGCCCGGCTGATCAAGACATTATTAATCATTACAAATTGCAACAAATGCTGAAAATGAAGAAACATGAGGAGTTAGAAACGCCAACCTTTACCACATCCATTCCGGTCGATATTGCCGATTAAGAAGAGTGATTTCAAGAATGACAAGCTGTACTTTTTGTTTTCTTTATAACCCCACCCACTTTTTTTTAGTAGTGCAAACAAATATTAGAAACCTTTAGAAACCTAATTAAAAAAATTTTAAAGGGACTTTTCGACAATTCCGATTTGGAAAAACATAAGCATTTTGCTTTCTTTATTTTTTACTTTTATTTTTTTTATTTTTTTTTTTTATTTTTTATATAATTACTTTTATAGTTAAGTAATAAATTGTGTAATAGCCCATATGACAAATTTTACTGTTCCTCTTTTTTTTCCATATTATTGCTAATCAAAACATATCTTATTGTGGTCAATAGAAAATTTCTCTAATCTTTACAGATATTAAAATACCTTTCGTGAAAATATATACACAATAAAAAATTTTTTTTTTTTTTTTTTTTTTTTTTTGCTTTTTTTACTTTATGTGTCCGTGTGTTTTCATGGACGCAAACTTAACACATATTTGTTTATAATACATGACGTGAAATCTTTGTATATACAAAACGATCACAATCAAGACAAACTAAACTTACTAAACGATATATTAATATTAATCTTAATATACATACAAAAGCAAACATGAATAAAGAATATTTCATATATTTGATACGCGCTACATTTCATGCTTTTATTCTATATATATATATATATATTTGCAAGTGCCATATTCAGCGCATGAGTTAATTTCCTTCTTTTAATACTGTAGATGGAGTTGGGCAAACGTTTGTCCCGCAACGTGAATCAATTAATATTAAAGCGAAGACGACGAGATCGTATTTAAGATGCGCTAATTCCTGATAATGAAATATCGCCTATTTTTGCGATTTGTGATTGCTCATATTGCATATAATTTGAATTTGAGTACACTTGAGTGGTCATTTTGCTTAATAGACCAAGTTAAATATTGCGATCTGGCAACGTTCGAAACGAAATGAAAAAAAAAAAAACAATAATTAGGTGAAATAATTTCTAAAGATAATCCTTTGGTATAACGGTTAAATGTTTTTTAATTCAATTACGAATTTTTTTTTTTTTATTATCATAATATATTTACGCTTTATTCTTTTGCAAAAACTTAATTGAAAAGTTCATGTTTATTGCATTTGAATCAGTAATTAAGTGGATACTCTTGCTTCTGGACGTAAGCGGGCTTTGCGAGTTTATCCTAATAGATTAATTACATTATGTCAACTACATGTAATTGGTTTTATAAATTTGACACGACCTTTGAGTTGATTAAGATGAGGCGGCAGGAAACAATTAAGAAATATATTTGTTAGAAAGCCCGTAATTCCCCATATTCTTTTATTGTTCACTCTAAATACTGGTGTGCTGTAACCGCTTTTAAATTGTGTATAACCCAAAGCATTGGGATGACATAAGTCTTCAAAAGTTATGGTAAAACATTCATCAACTTCGGCCTCATTTAATTTTAATTCATTTGCCCGGAAATGATTAATCACTCCAACCACCGGCATAATAGCCGCAGTATGTGGAGGGGTTAATAAGCTTCCCGTACCCCATATGTCAATACGATTAGATTTAAGTCCTATTTCTTCTTCAGTTTCACGTAATGCACATTGGATGAAATCTTCGTTTTCTTCTTTAATGCCTCCCGGAAATGAAATTTGGCTCATATGTCTACTTAACATACGAGAACGTCTTGTATATAAAAGGGAAGGATTTTGTCTAAAATCATAGGTGTTTAAAATTTTGCTAATTACTTATTTCTTTATACCCACCACCCAAATAAACGACTTATGCTAATTAATCATCATTACTCCATAAACACCACATTTACACTTTTCATCTGCTTTACATTTTTACGCCCCAATTAAACTTTCTCTTACTAAATATATTTGAATTATTCAAATCTCATAAACGAGAAATAAACAAATTAAATCCTGCAATGATCCACGACACAATTCGCTATTAATATAAATCTTGAAAAACGATAAGTGAATAAATATATAAATATTAGAAAGAATTTTTTTTAGTAGCTTACGACCTACAGCAGGTGTTGATATATAACTTATGACAGAAATAATTTACAAAATACTATATGAAAATTCGTTAAAGAGCTGATATCAACTAGTCCCGCTATGAAGTAAAAAGAAAAATGAAAGGATTTTCGCATGTATCAGTTTTGTGTGGTGGGTATTACGAAGTCGCCTCAAGGCGAATACAGATAGGACCTGCAATTGTTTTACTTACAATTGCTCATTAGTACAAATGGCTATTAAGACAGATGCAAAGGCGTTCTCCATGTTGGTACCTCGTCGCTTGATAGCCACTGGCGGTGTTTGTTTCATCGCATTCATACATCTTTGACGATTATTTTCATTTAGAAGGACATCAGAGGTAAAACTCTTCTGTTCAATCGCAAAGTTGATTGTGCTCGCCCCGTAAAGACGATGCAATGAGCAACAGCTATTAATCTGTAGTTGTTGATATCTTGACATAATTATGCACCACATCGTTCTTTTTTTTTCGTCTTTTTTAAGATAGAATTATCTAAATACTTGTGTTGCACTTTGCTATGTTATAATTGACATGGTTGCCAAATGCACATTTCAGTTTATATACACTTTTTGCAACCTTGCAGTGCGCTTTATTGTGTGGAGTGCGTTGATATTCATTTTAAAACGTTCTCTCATATTTGAATCGGTACTTAAAAAATCCGATATATTTTAAGAAATTGTCTTATATGAAATATTGAGTCGTCCTGTCGTTAAAATTAATTATTTTTTTTTTTTATTCAATTTACATGAGTGGATTTGTTGAACCTATCAAGGCGCACACGGCAACGAGGAAAAAAAACTTAACATACTTTTTGGTAATAACTGAATGAACAGTGGATGAATAGTGGAATTGATTCAATCATATCCATACTAGTTACTCTGTCTATGAAAAATTAAAATCGCAACTGAATAATAAATTTTCTATTGGTTTTTACCGCATGTGTCCGTCCGTCTGTTTTAATCGGGAATTAAAAAGTTGCTTGAACAACAAAACCTTTCGTTAGATTCAGTTTCAAGATAACTTAAATAGATTCACATGTTCACCCTTAACTACAAAAAGATCGTACACACATCTAAACACAGATTTTACTTAATACAATTATGAATGACGTCTGGCTACATATTACTATACATGAAAATATCATTTCAAAGAACATATATGATATGCCGCGTGCTCCTTGCAATGGTATCTTATCCAGTGTAATAATTATTTCGTCTGTAGTCTCGCAGTATAGCAACCTTGGCCCCCTACAGTTCTATACAATAATGATTTGTCGCCTGTGGTTCGATATTCATGTATTTCAATGTCTGAACAGATCATGTGAACATGCCTTAGTAGCTTGGAGTAGAGTAAATCTCATATTTATTTAGTAAATGCAAGGAATTGTCCTTTTTAACGGCTTTGCCTATATATAGATAAAGTAAAGAAAATGATCCATATTTTATAGGTTTAGGTATTGGTTTGTAAACCCAAATCGGGCGTCCATCTGCATACACTTTCAATTGTAAATAAGGCTGCATGTGCTCCGAAATTTATCAAAAGTTGGTCTCGTGAATTCAATGACCCTTACATAACAAGAAAACATTCCTTTGCGTAGGCAAATTTCAGAATATATGTCACTGATGTAGTCCCCAAACTATGAATGCGATATTCAGATAATAGATGATGGAGAATCAATTGTGTGTTGCCCCTGCATCCTAACTGTCTGAACATGATTACACTTCTAACTGCGCATACGCGGAGATTTGCGCTTACAATCGACTTTGTGGTGAAATTGATTAATGGTCTAACATCGCCTCTTGTTATATATTTACTGAAATTAATTTTGTTATCGGATAGCAGGCAGTATATCCTCATTCATTTACCATTCTATCGCTTAAACTATGAAATATTTAAAGCCTTTATTATCCGATTCAAAATATTAATAATTCTATCCCATCATAATATGAATTATATTACTTTCCACAAAGTGATCATTGAAGTGGTTGTTGAATATATATATATATATATATATATACATATAAGCTTGCTGCTTTCAATATTATTAATGAAATGCGTAACTTTATTATTGTATAACGTAAACGGTTGTCTTGTATTGACCGAATAATCGAATAAATAAATAAATAAATAAATAAATAAATATCAACGAATCAACATTTAATGAGCGGCGAGCAAAACAAGATTATGTTGTGTACGCATATGTCTGAGGCACTTACTAAACGAGATCTGCTAACGTATGAAGTGTCATTAGAATTGATTATAAGGGTTGAAGATAAATTCCGAATTTGATTAGTAAAGGCACTCCCCATTTAACGACCTCTGTACACGCCCTAACAGAGCTCAATTAAGTATTTAGAATTAACATATAGATGGATTTGAAATTCCAATCCATCTATAAGAGAATATGCAAAAATATCTTTGTGGACACAGCATGAGTGTATATGAAAATACCTTTCAAATTGACCAAAAGAAGAAATATTCAAATCATTCTTTCGAGAAGTATTTTTGAATAATTTTTTTAAAATTTGTTAAGCTAGCAAAATATTCTTGAGTTTTCAAAATGTTGTTAAAATTGTTAAAAATAGTTCTTAGAGGCAAAATTTGAATTTGTTTAGTTTGCAGCTTCACGAGATGTCTACAAAAATATTCTGCGTTATTCCAAATTGAGCTATAACTTAATTCGAAATATTTAACAGAGCTCTGTTGATGGAAATGGTCTGTTGGGCTGTCTTTATTAGTGAAATTCGAATTTATCTTCACATTATCTTCACATTTTTACATAAGTCAAAGGCAAAATTTTTCTTCTGACTTTATAGCTTTGGGTAACAAAGATACTCGGAAATTGTCTGCTGCTCGTGAAATCGTAATGATAGAAGAAGCAATGCGACGATTTAAGAGATTCATTTAGTACGTTCGCTAATCATGTGAAATATTAACTTTAACGGAACGTTATGTGTTACTGTTATTGTTATCATAATTGTGTGGCTTTCTTATGGCCATTTAATATCTTTAATCATATAACTTTCTCTCTCTTTCTCTCTCTCTCCTTTTTTTTTTTTTCCTTTCCTTCTTTCTTTCTATAATCACTAAGGTTCTTCATTAACTATGGACCTGGAACGGATTGCTACCATTTTTATACACAAGGATTTAAATGTTAAATTGAAATTTAATGGAAATTTCTCGCTTTGTCTTTCTATTTATTACTTGCACGATCTCAGGATGGATGGTTCAAGCCCTATTTCAAATGAATGAAATGCCAGAGAGTTTTCAACACCGAGAAGCATACGATTTAAGATAACCAGGCAGCCTTTTTAAAATCCACACTTTTTAAATGTATTTGCAAAATGGATAAATAGACAATACATAAATTATAATAAATAAGAATGAATTCGCAATTTTGTATCGCGTATTACACGATTGCGATAATTGCAAAAGCAAGGCAAAGGTTGAGGATGAGCATAATTAACACGATTCAGAGCATTACACTTTGATTAGCGATTTAATTTTCTTTTTTTTTTTTTGCAAAATTATACATATACTGTGGAGCGTATTTTTGGATGTCACAATTCGGATAACAATGTCCATAAGTCTACGCTCCTCCGCTCTTTAATGATTTCATTATGATCGCTTTTTAATGAGTAGGTAAGAGAAAGAGTTTTTTTAAATAACATTTTTGCATTTATTTTATAAAAAAATTACTGTAAACATGGTTTGTGTGTGTGTGTGTGTGTGTGTGTATGTATGTGTATGTGTATGCATGTATGTATGTATGTATGTATGTATGTATGTATAAGTGTGCATGGCAAAACGGGCGCAAACTTTAGATTCGATTTTATTCTTTTGCATGAATTTACGAAGTTTCTCTCTGTATTGCATTTGGATATGAATTTTTCTAGTATGAGTATTTGTGTGTGTGTGTGTGTGTGTAATTTCTCTGTGTTTTATTATGTATGTATGTATGTATGTATGATGTTTAGGAATGTTTTCCTTTCTCTTCTTTTTTTTTGTGGGTTTTCGCATCACAGTTTTCTATCGGCATCGATTGGCTTAAAAAAAAAAGAATAAAAAAATAAAAAAAAAAAATTTAATTTAATTGATTTACCGGATCTAAAGAATGCGCTGTAATGCCAACGACTGGCAACTGATTTTCAACAAATTCGTTACTACTTATAGCTAAAAACAGGTGATGTTACTTATATCTACTAGTAGCAGGCATAGGTGGCCCGGGCCCGCGCCACCACCACCACACCCCATTTTTGTTTAATCTTTGGTCTAAGGATTCGTCTATAAATCGTTTAACAAATCGCCGCATTTGTAAATGTTTTCTTAAATTCGAGTCGAATCGAATCGAATCGATTCTATGGAATCTTTTTCATTTAATTTAATTTAATTTTAATGATTTTTAGATAACGTTTATGCTTTTTGACTTAAAAGCCTTGAAAATGTATTCTACTTTTTTATGCTTTTAATTATGTGAAAAAAATTTTTTTTAATTTTTTTTTATTTTTATTATACCCTACACCACTGGTGGTCAAAAGCGTGTATTAAATTATATCCGAATGTATACAACACGTAGAGGAGAACTTGAGGTAGATTCATCTTTTCTTAGTATACGAATCTATTTAGAATCACTTGCTAAAATGAGTTAAGCTTGTCTTCCGTCTGTCTTGTTTTCTTGTGGTTCAGCCTAAAAGGTGCAAATTTTTATGAAACTGATGTCAAACGAGGGACAAACGCTCTTGGAAATTGTTCGAATTGTATCATTTTCCTCGGCCACTTGCCATCTAATGCCTTCTATTGACATATTCTTATACGAATAACTTTATTAAGCGAAGCGGTGTAAGGTATTCAATGGTGGGCCGCGGCCCACTATATTCATTTAAGTTGTTTTTTGTATATATTTAACTAATGTGTACTCTTCTATAGTATGTGTATGTGTATGTGTATGTGTATGTGTATGTTCATGTGTATGTGTATACGTATGTGTTTGTGTATATGTATTTGTTTTTGTGAAATATAATACTAAACGCTGCTTTCGTTAGATTTAAAAACAGTGCTTGAGGGGAATTTTCCTAGCGACGGCATTAATTTATTAGTTACACAACGTGGCGATGCGCTTGACGGATAGATACATGCTTTACGTCTACGTCCTGGGGAGGATGTCGTTGGTAAATTGCAGGAATTCTCGGGAATTTGTACTAATTGATTAAGATGCACGTGATCCTTGTCGGCGACAAATAGTTTACGCGTTATAAGTGAGTTACTAAGATGTCTCTCATCATCAAAGATTGGAAAATGTGATTCAAGTATTCCGCTGCGATTGGCTGTTTGGCATTTACCGTTCGCATTGGAATTATTATTATTGGTCACATGTTCTATGGACGAATTGGCACTATAATATGTTGTATCCTCTGATTCGGTGCTGCAAAGATATTTGCCATTATCGTTGGCAGGATTGGCTGTTTTTGTAGCGTAATAATTGGAGCATTTATCTTGCTTATGCTCGTCGTCATCGTCATCGTCATTCTCGTTTAATATATTACTATCACTGAAGGTAAGTTTTTTTTTCGGCGGGTAGGTTATTAGTAAATTCAGCTAACTGATCAGCCGATTTGGAATTCTGTCGATGATGACGAGTAACTATTAATCCATTTGTTTGATTATCGTTATCATCTTCATCTTCTGTTCGTTTATAACTTTTGGCCGTTTCAAAGCTATCTTCCTCCTCACTAGAATCTTGTGTTTGCGGTGTGAATAAGGGATGAGTGATAATTACGCGACTCATACGTTTATATTCATCAAGATTGCGGCTATCCTCGGCGCATGTTGAAAGATTCTCCGTAAATTTTGGAGCCCTTCGTAATACAACCGGGGTATGTAATTGTGATTCGAAAATATCATCTAACACATTTTTGCTGCCTATTCGGTTGGGCATCGTTTGCAAATAACGGTCTATGCTTGTGCCTAAACTGTTGCGTACACTGTTGCGCGATGAGATACTTGAAATTTCGGATAGTGTCTCGGGACTGGCTAACGGTGCTAAGCCTAACCAATCGTCATGGATTAAATCAACGGGATTTGGCACGTCTGAAGCTCTTCGCAATGGTGGCAATGGCAAATGCGGTTTACATTGAGATCGTGTTGAAGATTGTCGCGATAAAATGCTTTTCGGTATTGTTAAGCGCGGCGAAGGTGATTTACTGACTTGCGGACAACTGGCGTTCATATCGAAAGCAACAGCTTTTAAACGATGCGATGATATTGACTGCTTCTCCGAACAGTCGATTTTTGAATTTATATCATTCGCTTGCGGCAAAGGACTTTTAATTGCGACTGTTATAATGCTATTATCCAAGACGCTAGAAATGTCCCATTGCATGGAACTTAATTGGCTACGACTACGTATACTACCGGCCAGTGACGATGTTTTACTTGAGCTCTTCTCAATCCCCATTTCACTGTGACTGTTATATTTTTGTGAAGCCGGAGGACTGTCTAAATTAGTGAATGACGTTTCAAGGCATACATTGGGTTGAATTGACGGTGTATCTGCATCACAATTTATTATATTTAAATAGGAATTTCTGTTTACGCCATTGTCTTTATATTCACACTCGATACAGTCGCTTTTTTGCGTATCGTGGATTGAAATAAAAGCATTTGACGTTTGACGATGGGGTTTTCGTGGTCCGCTAGTAGTTACAACCTATAAAAATTTTTACACAAAACAAAATTTTGAAATATACTTTTAACTAGCAAGCGGTGCAATCCAAAGCGTGTAAAGCACGAAATTCTTTACTAAACCACATTTTCAATTTTAATTCGAAAAAAAAAATGCATGTTTTCACTATTGCTATTGCTCTAAAACTTTTTCGTTTCAAGGTTCAACAAAAATTGTAACGAGTAGCAGCAAATACTACAAGCGGAAAAGCGAATTTCTAATCATTCGTTTATAGCAACAACCAAAGAACTCATTGGAATTTAAGAAGAAAAAAAAAAAAACAAAAAAAAAAACAAAAACAAAAACAAAATGCATACGTATAATAAAAAAAAACCAAAATTTTTTAAAAAACAGAAATCAATTTTTTATTTGGCCTTTCAGACTTATTTATAAAGTAATGATAATAATAGAACTTATCTTGTTTGGCATGACTATAGCGAAACAACTCAGTAAATTTATATAAAATGATCGCGAAATAATTGCGAAATAATATCGATGATGAAGGTGCGATTATTCGAATAGACTTAAAGTTATATATAATAATACATAAAATGTTGTAAATCTAAAGTAAAACAAAATAACAACAAAATTTTATTCGCTTTTCAGCGAAACTTGCTTATCACCCACCCACCTACCCACCTCATCTTAAATCTTAAGCTTCTTATTAACTGTGAATGAATATCTTAGTTATGCGATCAAACTCATTGCGACAGGTGGAGTTAAATCCACCTCATTAACTGATTGCATCAAATTTCCCAACTTGTATGTTATTAGCAGTTTTTTCTTTGTTTTTTTCCCCATGATATCGTGCGCATGTTTCTCAACGGATCAATTACGTTCAAAAATTTTTTTCACCAAAACCCCTACAACTTTCAATACTGTCCCACGAAATCTTTGCAATCGCAGGAGCTTTACGAACAGTTATAATACATGGCTAATTCGATTTAGAATTAAATTCAATCGATCGAGGATTATAGGAACGCGATGAGATCAATATTATCTAAGATAGCATCTTCGTTCGGTGGATGTAGATGTCGATGTAGTGAATTAACGAACACTCAAGGATAATAAAAATTTTGTTTATACAAAAAAAAAAAAAAAAAAAAAAAATTCCAATAATGCTTGATAAGCGGACGGCATTCAAACTGAAAAACTATTTACCGATGAAGCGGTATCATCAGCAGCATTAATTATTACCTTCTTTAAAGCGGCTAAGACCTTATCCGGCATGTGATCTTGTAACATTACAGGTGATATGAGCACTTCATCAAAATCTGTTGTATCTGCCCAAATGGCCTGATAGACGGGCTCACGATTTTTTAGCATATTTCTAAAAAAAAAAAAAAAAGAAAAAAAAGAAAAGAAAAGAAAAAACAAAACAATTCTCACTTTTTTGTCACGCACCATTGTACAAATATCCACGCACACATTAACACATGTATACAAATACGCTGAAATACATTAGTGTATTAAATAAGTCATGCAGCGACATTTATAGATTAATTATGTAAGCAATAATTTTTATATTTTCATAATTTTTTTTAACCCACTTTCGTCCGTTATGATCATTTATACATATGCGCATGTGTAATACGATAACATTTTCTACCAAATAACACGTAAACATTTCGTTTATATAAATAGAAGGAAGAAAAACAAAAAAAAAAAAAAGAAGCAGAGCAGCAAGAAGTTTACATCATGCATTTAAAAGTTGTCATGCAGGAGTTGTAGTTTTTAAAACACATCTTAACTAAAATTTATGATACGATAGCTGACGATCTGGTCGCAGAATTATTCATTGATATCTGGATACTCAAGCATAATCGATAGAAATGATATATAACACATACATACAAATACAACATTCTTTTCAAGCGTCCTATCTATCACTCACTCTCTCTCTCTCTCTCTCTCTCTCTCTTCTCGACATGAAAACATGAAAAGAGATCGATGTAATCTTTCAATTCTTCGCTAGCAATGCAAAAACTAATTGCAGAGTATCTCGTACTGTTGTGGCATTATTTTCGAAGTGTACGTTGTTTTCCAATTAAATGGCAAATTTCGAGCAATTGAAAAACATCAATGAAAGTGTGGATCCAATAACAAAACACATATTTTACTTGTTATAGTGTTTATGTTCATTTAATATCTGTAGACACCTTATTGATGCTCCCCCTAATGTATGCTCAAAGCCTGAAGTTAAAAAGCGAAAATCGTAGTTATTATGTTATATTGTTTTTATTTTTATCCGTGAAATGTTTAATTGTAGGTAGATTGCGAATAAAGGCACTGTTACAAGATTATATATTAGGTTTCTACGAATAATATGCAAAACTCAGAATAGCTCAGAATAGATAGACGAAACTTCCATTATACCCCTCTATCTAAAGACATTTTTCGAATCATTATCCGAATCGATTTTAGGCTATGCATACATCTGTCAATCCGTTTGTCCGATAGCTACGCCTGCGCTGTCGTGGTAATTTTCAAAAAAGTTTGATGAAATTTTATACACTGACAAGCATGATCAACCGCATGCTTCAGAAAATGAACATGATCGAGCCATTTCTATGATCATTCTATATATTGAAAGAATGGTCGTAAGGAAAATAACTTGCAATTTCAATATCTGTCGGCAAAAGTACAAACAAAAAAACAAGGAAATGATTCTGATCAGCACTTCTTTCATGTGTTTGTTGGTGCAAACGATAAGATCAGGCGAAAAGATTCACTTCAAGTTTTTTTTATCTGTCCCGTTGCACAACATTTATAAATTGTAGTTAAACTTTATATAATCGTAAGCGTAATCGCTGCTTATAGTTAATCGGCTAGATTACTAAGAGAGTCATAAACTTTGTTTATTTGACATAAAAAAATCCGTCAGATTACTGCGGTTACCTTTATTTACTTATTCATTTTCGCCATATTCACGTCGCATATACGTGTGACACAGCGAAACAAGAGAAAAAGAAAGAAATAAAGAGGTGGGTGTGCGCCCAATCGATATGTGTTATCCCATTTCCGACTGAGCACTCACTACAGCTAGCGCATTTGAGATTTGAACCCGTGAACACTGAGTTCGTAGCCGCGATTCATACCTACTCGGCTACTCGGTTGGATAATCTGAGTGGAAAGAATGTGGCATGCTTCGGATCGTAGCATGGACGGATCATCGTTCCTTCCCCCCTCCAAAGAAAAGAAAAAAAAAAACAAGTAAGAAAATTATATTCGGTGATGAACGAATCTTTTATGCCCATCGTCATTATCCTAAAAAGGCAAAAATAGCAAAAGAACTCAATTTCCATGCTCTATAATATGGAGAGGGCGAACCTGATTGCTTTTATTTCCGAAATAAATGTTTTTGTCGTACAGTCGCGTGGGCACATTCTTTGAAAAGTTTAGGGCGCTTTCAAATTCTTTTGCATATTAGTGGGCAATATCTTCATTTTTGCGATCAGGAGAATTTTTACAACAGACTTTTAACAGATGGACGGACAGACAGACATACTTCAATCGATTCAGAATTGTTGTTGTTGATCAGGAACACATAACGCATATACGTTGCGTGGGGTCTCTGAAGCTTACTTCTGCGCTTTGCAAACGTTTTGACAAAATGAATACACTCACTGCTCATCCTTTGGCGATGGGTGCATTGCGATTAAATTCAATTTGTTCTCGAAAGCAGATATCTTGAACTTGACCGCTTCGCTTGATACCGTTACTGATATAGGGATTTTTTAAAAGTAAGCCTTTATAGAGGAACCGATCGAATCATATTGAATAGCGTACTTGCCCTTGAGTGAAAATTTCATGAAAATATCTCAAAAATTGCGATCTTATAGGTTCAACACAAGAAAACCAAAATGGATAGATAGAGAGAAAGTGATTCGCAATCGATTGATATAGTAAATCATGTGCCTATTTCAAGTTCTTTTCAGTGTTACATACATTCGCATACGTCGTTGTAAAACAAATCCTTTAGGGCATAACAACAACACTTTCATTTCATAGTCCATCAATTGGAAAATACCCGCGAATATATATAAAAATACACGATTTTGAGTTTCTATGAAAATGCTTCTTCTATGAGACGCGTTCCGATATGATTTTCATTTCAATTGCACGAAACATCAACGTCAACGTCAACGTCAACTATCGTATCGTGTTTGGGTTTGCAGTCACAAAATGTGACAAACTGTATTTACTATAAACTATGAGTTGTTTGTTCAAAATTGATTGAAAAAAAAAATTGATTAATTGATATATCTTAAGCGTGACATCCTACCTCCAACCTCTGTCATATTTTTGCCTGCAATAAAAGTACATGAGTTGTATTAAAAAAAAAGCACAATTGGGCTTAGCATTTTTGAAGAGATCATAAGTAAATTTAAAAGTAAAAATAAATAGAAGCTTTTGGATAAGGTTTGTAAATTAATATACATTTAATATATATGTGATTTGAACTTACTCATCCGGTTTTGGATGATGCCGCACGATGTGTATGATACGCCCAGGTGGATAAAGCGGTTGATGAATTGTTAAAGCTATTGAGCTATCAGTTGGATGTGCACTAGTGGACCGTGCCGAGTCACGTTCCTAGAAATTTAAAACACTTGAGCTTTTCTTCTATAACAAATTTATATATATATTATTTAATTAACCTCTTGATATTTATTAATATCAGTATCTTTGCCGGACATTTCTATCACTGAGGTTGGTTCTGGCCCGCAACCACAACATATTATTGAACATGATATAGTTCTCCACTAAACAACAAAATATTATTTGATAAATTTTTAATTTCGATTTATCAAAAAAAAAAAAAAATCACACTACCTTAGGATCTATGCTGCGCTGTATGGCATTTATGAGATCAGCACGTAAAGCTTCCATTTGATATAAACCTATACGAGGCACTACGTCTTTTCCCAAAACTACTGAGGTAATAAATGACTTTGAGTACTCCACCACCGGCATGCTACATACAACAAAGATTAATTTATGAAAATTATATTCAAGCTTTTTAAGTTTTATTTATACGTATAAAATATACATAGAGAGAGAGAGAGAGAGAGAGAGAGAGAGATCTTCTCGAAGCAGACATCCCTGAAAAATAACTAAAATCTTATAATAAGTCGAATATTCAGAATATTAAATATCGGGCAGATCTCTACAAACATTAAACATTTAAATCAGACAATGACACAAATTTAAAAAATATAAAAAAAAATTGAATAAAAATTTTCATTAAACGCAAACACATATTTCATACAAATAACTTTTGTACCCATCACCAAAGGATAGAGGGGTACATTCATAGTTTGTCAATACGTTCGCAATGCCCAGAAGGAAGCTTCAGAGACCCAACATATATGTTCTGGATTAGCATCAAATTTTGAATCGAATTAGTCATATCGGTCTGCCCGTCGGTCTAATATCTCTTGCAAGTATTCTCTTGGCCACATAAATTAAGCTGTCGACTTCAAATTTGGTGGACACATTGGAAGTTCAGCCAAATTGAAAATGAGTTAAATCGCTTGATGGATACGTCCACAGTACTGCGTTAAATGGGTATAGCTCTGTTTTTCAAAACGGCTAAAAATTTGCTTTACTGTACAAACTGGAGACAATGCCTGTAGTAGTACCTGCACAAAAACGGAAAAATCAGTCAAGCTTACTCAATTTTGTAGTGTGCCAAGGTTTCATATTTGTTTCAAAATCTTTGCAATGGGCAGATGCAAGCCTCAAAAATCCCACAAAATATATAAATTCTCGGTCAATTTCAAATACGAAATGCACTTAAATCGGCCCACTCCTTCATCTGTCCATCGGTCCGTCTGCCCAGCTATGTAGTATCATTGGCAAAAAATTCTTTCGTTCGCCTACAAGCTTGCAAAAGAATATAAAAATGACCTAAACTTTTCATAGAACACGTCTACAAAGCCTATAGCTTTATTTTAAGAATGACTATGAACCACAGGTGTTCAGCGTGTTTTTTGCTTGCTACTCGTAAACTACAATACATGAATCATATAAATTTCGACTCTTAGTCTGACATTAAAAAAAAAAAAAAAAAAAATCAGCCACGCACACCCAACGTTATAAAGTATGACAATTTAACTGTTCTTCTCCTTTCTAAGACGACGGTAATAGATGTATCGAAGATTCGTTCATAATCGACTATAATTTTCTTACTTGTTTTCTTTTAATCGGACCTGGAAAAATCCAAAATTAAACAAGGAATCTGTTGAATATACTTTGCGAGGTGATTACCAATAAAAGAATTTCAGATAAATTCATTTCTCATTAGACTATTCTTCGAATCGATCTTAACTTGTATATCCGTCTATCCATCTTGTTTTCTTGTATTTAACCTATCGGCCGCAATTTTTTAAACATTTTTATGAAACTTCGTTGACTGACGTGTTTTGGCCGAACGAGAGATTAACGCTATTGAAAATGCTTCGGATCGGATCAATTTTTCGATCATTTCCTATAGTAGAACTTATTTTAAAAAATCGTTAGATGAATAATTGTCGGGTGGTGTAAGGTATTAAAACATGGTTCATGGCGAACAGTATAGTAGTGTTTTTCCTTGTTCAGGGATAAGATTGGATTTTTATGATAACATAAATATAATACAAGACTCAAGGTCTCTTTTAAACATTTTTCCTATCTAGTCAAATAAGAGAAATTCATACATTCATTCAATCCTAATGATAATCAATGATTACATTACATATACGTTATAAGTACCTTAAGAGGCCACCTGGTGGAGAATAACTAAAGCACTGTAAGGATGGATAATCAGGTTTCATGAGTACTGCCAAAATTGACGCTGTACCGGCGCCCAACGAATGTCCGACCAGAACTAAAGTGAATGTATGCGTATTACGATCGGGATTTCTATTGAGGGCTTTCTCTACAAGATTCTCTTCACGCAATTTATTACGTATATAAATCGCTGCTTGTACCATTCCTTTATGCCCAAGCCAATCTTCACGTGGCGGATCTAATGGCAACACTTCGCTTTCGGCATTCAAATCAGTCAATATGTCTTTCATGCTAAGTGTGCCGCGTATACTAACAACAATTTTCTTTTGCGAATAGTCGATAGCTACAAAAAATGGTGTTTCACCCACATCCACATGATATGTAACATAAAGAATTTCCACATCGCCTACTTGTAGGGTCTTCTTTAAAGCAGCATAATTGCAATAGCAACAGTTGTCTTGGATGACTTCAATTTCATCGCTATGGCTCTTACAACAACCAAACGATCTGAAAACAAAAGATAGCCGATTTATTTTGAGCAATAAGCAACAATAGATTTGCGTTACCTTAATTCAGGCAGCAAATGGTACATTCTTGAGCGATTTATCATAAGGTACATGGGCCAGCCGTAAGCACCTTGCGCAAAATACATATAATGGATAACAGTTTGAAAGAAATCATAACTTTTGGGATCGTTCAATGCTAAAAATTGAGTATGTTCAGTGATGGGTACACCACTTAAAAACTCATACGTGCCGTTCTTTCGCTATAATAGGAAATATGCAAACAAAAAAAAAAAAAAAAAGAAACGTCATTGCCAAGTTGGTCAGATTTTGTAGTTGATTGTGTTTTCTTACTTGACGTACGATAGCTTCACGTTCTAAACGTTGAAATTTCCGTAATAATACTAAGCCGGCCACCACATCGGAGGGAACAACGTCTAATTCACGAAAAAAATCACTCAATAATCGAGCAATGTCGGTAAACGAATTACGACTGCGCTCTGTGGATCCTATACAGCAGAAGAGCAAACGACACCGATGATCCCAGCTATCTTGGTATGCTCGCATTACTTTTCTACAAAAATATTTAAAAAATTGACGATTTTCTCGAACTTTTCCTTATAATATATTAAGAATAACTTTCTTTGTGGTACTGAAAAAGGTTATCATCCATTACAAGGTATTATTTCTAGATCAAAAATTATTCAAGCAATTTTTTTTATTCGCTATCTCAGGTGATATATTAGTTTTGCAAACACCAGAGATTAGCGAATAGGTCTCCGATCATTAAAAATACGAAAATTTCATCGCGTTGTTTGGTATACATTACCGTCTACTCTATAGATATTGGTCTAAGCTCTAATGCAAATGTATGTAAGATGTCGATGTAAACATGATTTGGATCGTACAACTTTGCAATTTTAATACGTTTCCCTTAATCTTCTTCTTCTTCTTCTACTTCTTTTACAACTTTTACTTTTCCTAAGAGTCTTTGAAATTTAAATTTCCCTACTTCGATAATTAGTCATTATTTGCTATCTTTTTTTACATTTATGAAAACAAGGAAAAGCTCGAGCATTACACACTCGACACTACTTCGCCTAATATAGTTGTTATTCATTCATTTTTCATTGATAACAAAGAAAAATTAATATATATGTGTGTCTTGTAAAAATGCATTTTTGCGTGGAAGCCCGATCCTATTGGACGTTGCTCAAAATGTCAACTGACTTGATCAACAATATGTAGCAACATAAACTTACTTGTTAAAGATATTATTATTTCTTATCTGTTTTCATCATAAAAAAATTTACAAATTAGACTTTGTAGCCATATAAGGACTTTCTTTCTTTTCCTGATAAGCACTATATATAATAAGATTTAAAAAATTGATTTCCTCAGAGTAATTTTCATGTCAAATTGTTATCATGGACCAATTTTCATCATAAAATAGAAAATAATTAAATTTTTTTTTGCCAACGAGCTTAATATTCATAAGAAATGGATTCCAATAAAATTAAACCCCCTAACTGATTCAAATTTGAATCAGTTAAGTTTTATATTAAGGTTTTGAATGGTGATGGTTCAAAGTCGAAAATCAGGAACTATATCGAGTAGTTGTCGAAAATTTTTACGATTTATATCCTTGAGCCGAAACGCGTCAATATTTCAAATATCATCCAATTAATTCAAATATGATGGCCTGTAACATTGATGACAAAATTGCATGAACAGACATCAGACATCAGACGGATGGACAGATTGTCAGGCATATTTAGTTCGATTTAACAAATGATTAGTTTAGAGAGATGCATTTATGTTAAGCCGTTCTGGGTGTGAACATATAATCGCGAAAACATAGTATACGCTGCACCATTAGTAGCGCATGGTAAACAAAACGAAAAAAACTGAGTTTATTCATAGCATACCTTTGGCGCCAATTTCGATTTACGCTATTGCTGCGCTTGTAATTCAAACGCGATTCCGTTTCACGCATTGATCTTTGGTATTTCTTCATTTTCACCCAAGAACGTCCCGCAGCATCGAATGTACACCATACGGTTATAAATGTCACTAATACTAACGCCCAATTCGATATCACAATGCCTAGAATTTTTATTTTATCAATTTTCAATACTTTTATCGATTAATAATTAGTCATCAAATTTTTGAATATAAAAAAATAAAATAAACTCACCAACAAATATTTTCTTTGATTTATCTTTAAAGGATTCTTCATAAAAATTTGCTATCCATATTGTACCTAAAATAAGCCACACCACGTCGATGAATAAAATAACTAAAAATGACGAAACGAAACAACATTAAAAATAATTAAATTATATGTAATTTTATAAATATATGTTTCTGTTTGTTTGTTTGTTTGTTTGTTCATATGTAATGAAACTTACGGGTTTTTATGTAAATCCAAATGTTAATAGGATTCCGTATTTCTGAATCCAAAATACTGCCACGCATTGATATCACGCAAATACCTATTTCTATACTTATTGAAACTGGAAAAATTAAGGAGACAACAGCAAATCACATTATCGATAATCTATTGGCAAATTTAAGGCACTTACGACACAATATCATCAGATAACCGATTTGATGATAAAATAGCAATTTTACGTCTAAAAGGCTTGTATCATAGTCTAAAATGCTCAACGAAACCACTACAATCATTAAACTATTAGAAATGAAAAAATTTATAAATGCAATAAACGATTTATTGTGTTTATTGTCGATTAAGTTTTAAGCACTTTTCTTACCATATTAAATGTATTATTAAAAGTATTGCACCGGGCACCACAAGATCATCAGAGCCCACAGACCATCTTCGTCTAAAAACAACCAATCCAGGCATCTAAAAAAAAAGGTTTTTTATTTTTATTTTTTTTTTTTTATTTTCATTACATCATATCAACTTGATGGACTTAATCCCGCGCCAAGGGATCTCTAAGCCTAGAGAATATATATACATATATATATATATATATATATATATATTGGGGATCTTTCAACAATTCCAGATAATTTCCGTCATAACATTCGCTGATTGAATAGCCCGACGACAGCCGTGCAAATGTTTGAAGAGAATTATGTTTTTTTTTTTTTATTTATTTATTTTTTTTTTTATAATGAGGCTTACTTTTATCGACCCGAATACCTAAGCCGGTGAAATTTGCAACAACTAGAACTTTGATAACCAAAGAGAAATTGATGAAAATTTCCACTAATTTGATGGCATTTTTTTGAAAATGCTACCGATTTCACGGTTACAATGCATGGATAGATGCGTTCACGGTTACAAGTGAAATTGAAAATGCGTCTACATCCATGAGGACGGCATCATGTACTATAAAACTAAATGGAAACATTGGCTCTATTGCGCGAATGATTTCTCCTTGATGATGTCTCTTGTCTTGTTGAAAAATCCTACTCTAGCACCACTATAATGATATAAACCCCAATTGATTATATAACTTATCGAAACGAATATAAAAATGCATACACACATATGTACGTAAATACATACATACATACATTATAATATAATAAGGGGCGTGTTCGGACATCGTTATCGGCCTATAGTCGTAAGAAAAAGAATCAACGTGTGTTTCTGTCATAGCCCTGGTGATTTTTCATTAAATTTAAACTAAGGTCCGAAACTTTTCGGTAGCGCATCAAGGAGCCCTATTAACAGATTGGTATCACACAATGAACACCGAAAAAATTTATTAAATTTATCAGCGCAGGAGAAGCGACCTATGTTTTGTTAACCAACCGGCTTGAGCACGAGCCAAAACCACCTCAGGTATCATCTGAAAAATAGAAATATTTCCAAAACCGTTATTTTCTTTTGCTTTTGAAAACAAAGATATTCTTGCTTTACATTATATCGTCGGAGTGTCCCTAGATTGAATTGGTCCATTCTCATGCAAGAATTTCAAACGATAAATGTGAAGCCGGTATTTTTATTTTTACAACCAGATTCCAATAATGGACCGATAGAGAGACGGAGGGATGGGCCTGTGTAAAATGATTCAAAACTTGTATAGAGTCTATGAAGCCTGTTTTCCGTACGGTGTATATGTTTTGGCACAACAAGTATATCTCCATCGTTCGATGATGGATATGAAAACCGGGTTTGTACAAAAACTTAAGCATTAATCTTTCTATAAAACCAGTAGTTGCCCGTTTTTTCAATGTTGCTGTTATGGGGAAGTGAACCGATCCGAAGCATTTTCAATAGCGTTCCTCCTTAGTTCGACTTGTAGGCTAAACACAAAATAACAAAACGGACAGACGGACAGACAAGCTTACATCGATGCTGAAAGCGACTCTGAATCGATCAACATGATAATCAATCATGTCTATCTCAAGGCCTTCTAAGCGTTGCGTACATTGGCACAAATTTAATATACGCTTGTACCACAAGTGCTGTAAGAAGGTATAACAACTCGTTTCATTCAGTTCATTAATTGAAAAAATTACCTGAAATTCTAATCAGTTTTAAAAAGCTATAAAGAATATTGATTGATCTGTTGTTAGATATCTTTCATCCATTTAGTAATTCAATTACTTATTAACATTCAAAATGTAATTTCAGCTAAACATATTTGCTTTTTGTTCAGATATTTCAACAAAAAAAAAAAAAAAAAAAAATTCATAAACTTTCTGCCATTATTCGAGTATAGAAATGCATAAAGATGCACATTTATGCATGCAGTATATTCTTATTTAATTTAGTTATTGTTATTGTTGTTATTATTGCTGTCAAAAATTAATAAAGTTTGCTAATGAATGCAAATGGGACAACTGACTCATGACCTTAATATATATTAATAATAAAAATTTGGTTAAAAAAAAAAAAAAACTTGAAACGCGGAAGACAAAATTAACTGTTAAGGCCATACTCATATGTTTTGTATACGTATTGTAACAATGCTGATGATGATGATGATATGCACGCAAGTAGCGTATGTTAATCAAAATTACTTTATATTAAATTTGTTAGCCTCCCATCTCCTAATTTGCACAACATTTACGTTTCAAAAAAAAGGGGTAAGAGAATCCATGCATGCAATTATTGTGGCAAGCGATACTACTTCTATAAAGTAACAGAACAATACCGTTAAAGATAGTGTATTTGTACAAGTGTGTAAGTATTTCTAAGTGTCTATCATATATAACCATATATATGAGAGAATAAAGGGTACTTGTCAAAACGAAAGTGAAAATGTTTATCGGAAAGTATAAGTCTCTTGTGTATTTGTTTATATGTGCTATATATGTACAGGTGATATTTATACATATTTGCACAATATTTCTACCTTTCGGTTAGTCAAAGTACAAAAAAAAAAAAATATTCATTTTTTGTATGTAGCAAAACCTCACGAAGGATTTCTCTACACATTTTTCAACACTTTTTCTAGTTGTTTTTTTATTGCATTTATAATGGTTAAGGTCGTTTCTCTACATTTTCATTAATACAAGAAAGGATTTTATTTAGTTGAGTTTTTAGTTTAGTTTAGTTTAGTTTAGTTTCGTTTCGTTTTTTCTTTTCACTTTATCACATACCAAGAACAAATGAGATGTATTAAGTTTCACATCCTTTTGGTAACGTCAACCCTATATCTATGCATATCAAAGTCCAGTGATTCAAGATCATTGCCTTCATTGCAATTCGTTACTCTGCTTAAGTTGCTTTATATTTTGCGCGATTGAACGATTAAAATATTCAAATTCGTAATGGCCGTAGTGTGTTTCAGATTTCCGAAGTACACATAAAGCTTTAATCAATTATGGTCCTAATCGAGTTATTAGGGGAGCGTACTGAACTGGAATTTATAAAAACTCCTTATCCGATGACAGGTATCTAAGATTCATCTCATGGGAAGCAAGACTGAATTTGACATAAACAAAGAATAATTAGCCAACGCTTTCGAAAACAAATATGCGGAAAGCTTTAAAGATATCTCTTAAATATATGTGAAATAGATTATAATAAGCAAACATTTGTGTTAACATTTTTATTCTATACAAACTGGAAAAATATTTTACGATCGAGTTTCAATTTATGAACCTGACTAGGTACATATATAAATAAACATACACATACACCGTAGAATGCAAACTCTGCAAATAAACTTAATTAATATAAGCACTCTGGCCATAATACCCTACATAAGTATGAACATGGTGTGCTATTATCTGTAATTAGCAATTATGATAGAATGATACGGTTATTCAAGCATTCCTAGGGATGAGATTTTTAAATATCCGATTGTACCGATTTAGCCGATTTCTCAACCTATTAATGCGTAGGAAGGAAACCTGGCTTTTTTTCCAAGTCTATTTTCAATATTTTCAATTTTTAATTCGGGATTTCCTTCACGATGGATAGACGATTAAATCGATTCTATAAACTTATTAGAAATTCATTTTTCGTTTATTGGCTTTATTGATCAAGGGATCAAAAGACAGTTGTGAGTGTGGCAAAATTTTAAATTATCTAAATAGTCATTGGATTTTTCGAACATGACTTTATCGGAATGTACGGGGAACTTGAAACCTTAAAAAGCATCATAATACTTGAAAAACTTTCATTTTTTTTCGTTCGAATTTCTGATAAAATGTTTAAAAGAATATCTAGATATTAGAGGGAAGTGTGAAGGGAAGTTTCGATTATTTAATTTAAACATTATTTATTAACAAAAAATTGACACTTTCTTTGGGTCAATAATTGAACGTCTTAATTAAAAATACTTGCTAACTGTAAAAAAAAATTAATACTTTTTTAAACAGTGTGTCAAGATAAATTCGAATTCAATTAGCAAAGGCATTTATCAACTACTTTTTACAATGCGTTGTAAAGGCTACAAGGGAGCCATTAAGTAATTAGAATCAAGATAATGTTCGATTTGGAAGCCTACCCGATCCGAGCGAACTACAAAAGTGCAAAATTTTCTTTTCAAAAGTTATTTTCAAAATTTCTTACAAACTTGAGACGTGAACATAAGCCGGCTGTGGAAAGAGAGTTCAATTTGAGACTCTAGCGCGGTCACCGTGAAAACCATCGCCAATATTCATCTATATTGCGTGAATTTCGATATGAAAAATTGTTTTGAAAAATAAGTATGAATTTCTTTAGCTCCTTCGAAAGATATTTTCATATTCATATATATCCGCCTGAGTAGCCGAGTAGGCAAGAGTCTCGACTAGCAACTCTCAATGGTCGTGGATTCAAATCTCAAGTGTGGTAGAGTTTTTAATAAAGCCGAAAGCCTTAGATGCTGGTGCTTTAAGACTTTTATCTTAGAATTGATTATCTGGCCAAATTTATTATAATAATAATAATAATAATATTTTCATATAGATTCGACGACATGTCGACAGAAACATGTTACATTCCATAATTTGGATGGAGTAGACTTTCAGATCCAATCTTCTCTTGATCCTAACTACTTAACTTAAGGTATTTGGTAAATCTGTTGTCGTTAGTTAAATTCGAATTTACTTTTTCAGATGATTAAGTACCGTTAGGCCGGTAGATTAATTGGTTTTTTTTCTATTTCCAAATTTAGAGGGCTTGTACTGCTTGCCGTAGAGCCTCTTAAATTAAAGATGCCTGACGAGAATGGCTGTGGCGTTGCCATTTTGTAATATTTTTCAAAACTGATTTTCTTTTAAGTATTTTCAAATGTGCACTTAATCACCTTTTCGAACATTATTGTTGTATTGTATTTCCTGCCATCTGAAGAAAGCAGACAGATGCTACAGAGATTACCGATGCATAAGTCCTTGCTTTACGAATATTACTAAGAAATCTATACTCGCTTTAATTCTTTCTCTCTCTCTCTCTCTCTCTCTCTCTCTCTCTCTCTCTCTCTCTCTTTCTCCTGAACACTTGTTATTTGAGTGAATCTATAAAAATTGGCCTATTTTTTATTTTTCTGTAACTCATGCTATATATTCCTGGGAAGTTTTAAATCTGTATTTGCGAAAGATCTTTAAAAAATGTCTTAAAATTTGTATTTTTCCTTCAGTCATTACAAGCATCTTACGGAGTACATGGACCGATTTTTAACTTAATATCATAATTTTTGGCGACATTCTGTCTCTTGAACAGTGAATAGGTGGACTGAATTTATAATCAATAATGTATAGGTCGGTATTAGGGGACCATTATAAGGTATTCCGAGTATTCTTTGAGCATAAATATAAGAATTTTTGGGCTTAGATCAAACATTCTTTACTGAAAACGCTCATCATTACATGACCAGATCCTCATTAAAAAATCCTAATTAAAAAAAAAAAAAAAACAAAGAAAGCAAGAATTTTTATGATTTTTCATATCATTGTTTTAAGTTCTTTAATACCTTTTAATTTCTGCTAACAACTTATAAGTTGTTCCTCAAGCAATCAGTATCGAAAGTGGGCAGCGTTACTTTTCAATTATCCAAATCACATTGTAAAAATATTATTGACAGCAAATGCAACCTAGCAGGACTACGCAATAATCGAAGAAGGTGTACAACAAAAAAAAAAAAAGCGCTAACATTTTTGTGAGGAGCGCTTTCCTAAAACTAATCATACATTTTTTTCCTATTCGTACCTCAAGAAGGCAATTATCATGAAATTCACTTTTGTGAAATGTTTTCGGGTTCAAGTTTTTCAAAAGTTTGCTACTCACATCCACGTGAACAACAGATTCGAAATATAATTTTTTTTGAATTTGAAAATCTGCAAAGCCAAATTTGGAAGTTTCTCGATAGGCGTCAATAATATTTTTTATGAATTGAAAAGAAATGCAAGAAACAAATAACATACATGTCAGGTACATTAATATAGCATAACCTAAAAATAATTTTTGTTTTATTTCTATACCAAGATATCCTTGGAAATGTTCGGTTGAATCGAAATCTAGTGACTTTGAAGGGTATGAAGTTATATTTAAATATATCTAGCAAAGACACAAACTAAAATTTTTTTGCAGAGCTCTGTAAAGCCGTTAACGGAATTCTGTTAAACGAAGTCTCGGAGGGATTTAACTCAAAATGCAAGTAAAATAGAATTTTTCGAGAATTTTTTTGCAAATTATTATAAACAAAAGATGACTTTATGTAAATTAACTAATATTCGAAACCAAAACTTTTTTACAGTATGCCATCAATGAGGTTGATAAAGCGAAAATTTGCGGAGCTACTGTGGCCAAATCATGTCCCTTGAAAAAATTAAACTAGTACAGAGTGAATTCTCTATTAATAGCCTTTCCAACGGTGTCCAGGTTATATTAAATTTGATTTTTTCAAAAGGCATGGTTCCGCCACAGTAGTCTTTTAAAGTTTGCTTATATGTTAGCCTATGGAAATTTTCAAAGTTCCATTAAAAAAATTCTCGGGGCAAAACTTAAAAAGTCTGTAAAAAATTTTAGTTTGTGTCTTTGCTAGTTATATTTAAATATAACTTCGCACGCTTGAGACTTTGGTGAATGATATAAAAATTTAAAAGTTCGCTATAATAGTTACGAGCCAAAATTTCATATTTTGTGTGCGAAATACGCTTTTACCTCGACTTTCTTTGAATATTTAATAATTTAGCAAACACTTTCTCTTTACCACTTTAGGTAGAGTTCGCACAACCTACTTTGTCTCGCAAAGGCCAATATCGTAACCGGTTCTTTACCTTATTAAATTCTTCAGTCATAGCGATAAGCAAAAAATGCATTTGCCTCTATAAGTGGAAAGCTTTTTCAAAATTTGAAATTTTTGAATTTGATGCATTTTCAATGCATTCCACGTCCTTCTAGGTGCAACTGTTCATTTTCTTTTGCCACCTACTGTATTAGTAAAATGTGTGTACAAAATTTCAAAGCAAAAAAAAAAAGAGAGAGAGAAAACGTAACTCATACGCCACGATTTTCAAATATAAATTCTGCAATTCAGAACATGTGTGTGAAAGATATATCCTACCTATCTAGATAACGAATAGCGATGATAGGCTTTTTTACACACTTTTTACATTTCGAAAGTAATTCTTCTCAAAGTGAATGCACAGTTATTTCTAATTTTTAAATTTTTGCAATAATTTTCCAAGCATAATTCTTCTTTTTTTTTTTTGCTTATAGATAAATGAATTAATTACCACTGGTAAGTTGAGTCGAAATGTGCAGCTGCCTTCTGGCCGAAATATTTAATTTGATTTCAGCTTTATGGGTATTTTGATGACTAGAGGAGAATTTATTCATGTGATACACATTTTGTAAAGTCACAGATGGCTAAACTTTCTCGTTGCTCTTATTTTTTTTTATTTTTCATTTTTTTTTTTTATTAATTTATTTATTTTTCGCCATTTGTCGTATACTTTTTATATATTTGTATACATGTGCATGTGGGGTGTGAGAAATTGACGCCTTCGCAGCCGAACATATTTTACTTTTAACGTTTTTAGTTAAATCATTAATTTGGGAACGTATTCAACTGTCGGCCGGTGCACGGTGATTAAAGAATGAGCCACGTAAACGCAAATTAAAGAATTGTATGTAAGCGACCGATTGACACCGCATTTAACGCACAGCTGATTATATACGGGCCGATCAATATACGTATGTTTTAAGCAAAAGCCTTGCACAAAGTGACACAAATTTTACTTTGTCTACAAATGTTTTATTGGTTTTTCCTTTCAACGGAATCATTTGTTATTGTTTTCTAGGTTTAATGCCGCGTAGTACTTTATTTATTGTCGGTTTCCTTATATTTGTTTACTGCACGCATTTTTATTTTTATATAGCAGTTATTTTTCATTCTCTCTTCGTCGCCTTATTCATCTCTCTTGTGGTTATTCCCAAGAATTGTATAAACTCGCTTATAACCTTCGCTTCAAGGATAAATGTGAATGAAGTTGTTCATTTACTGGTCATGGAATACGTTTGCTGGGTTCGTTCGATGTTTCTTCAATTGCTAAGCAATTTCATTTTATATAGTTTTTGCTTGAGTGCGATTAAAATAAAAATTAAATTTTTCATCTTTTTTGCTTTTAAAAGAAACATCTGTTTAGCATTTATTTACAATGTGATGTGAAGTGTATTTAAGAGACGACCTTAACTGTTACGCGTTACATTTTGCACTCCTTACTTGTTCTCTTTTATCGGCTTAACCACATATGCGTATAATTCCATTCGTATATATTCCTTGAGTTCTATATATTGAGCTATTTTATATTTGTTTCCAGCATATCAATATTAATTGTATATCAATAGATATAAGCGTCTAAACTTGTATAATATAATAAATCGCTCTTTAAAAAGGTAAAACGATAGTGTGTCCTTTTATGTTATATGTGTCTGCACATGATAGAACGGTTATATTAAGTCTTCGAATTTTGTGTGAGCGATTGCAAATGTCAACTTGTTTTAGCGAGCGAGCGAACGAATTCCTACAACTGCAAATATAACTTCATTTGCCTTTTGTCATTAGATTTCTTTTTTTTTTTTTTTTTTTTTTTTATATAAAAATGTAAAGCTCTTATTATTATTATTATTATAATTTTTCTTCGTTTTTTTTTTTTTTTTCTAAAAATTCACACGTTTTTACATAATTTTTCTTATTTTGCAGATGAGTTTCAACATTCTCGCAACGCTTTCACCAAACCGCTAACTAAACGGACTAAACGGTGGTCGAAAACACAACCATTCGCTAAGCTATATATGTATATATATATATGCATTTTTCTGCTTTTTTGTTATTAAATGAGAGTTCGCTAAGTAATTCAACAAAATCTCTGAGAGACGTAACTATCTTACTCTTTCACTATAAGAAGAAGAGTTGTTGCTAAGTCTTAAATAGATGGTTATTCTCTTCTAAATGGCGCATTGAAAAGTTCACAGAGCGATGCATACGGCTGATTGAGCCTTCTATTATTCAATAAATTGTTTTAACTTTTTAATTGATTAAATTTTTTTCTAAAAACTTGTATGGTTAGCTCCTTAATTTCGGCAATTCTTCGGCATTGATTCAAGCGTTCATAGAGCATTTCAAGTGAATTATGTTTTTTTTTTTTTTCTCAAAGTACATCTCCTCGTTTTAGATTCTTGCGTAATTCATGCTAATTTGAAAAGTTTGGTCACCTTTAAATATTCTAAAAGGATAGAACCGTTTATTTTATGCTTCACTTTATTTCGTCATTTCGGTTCATTACTTCACGTGCTTCTTATGGTATTCGGCAAATTAACAAAAGATGGATTACAGAATGAAAATCTATTTCCACGAATCCTTCTAAATAAATAACGTATAATATTACGTAAAATTAACGTAGCGCAATCTAAGCGTTAGCGTAGGAATTAAATTCAT